ATTCTTCTTCCTGGGTACTTTTTTGTCCTTAAGTGATCTCAGAAACTACACATCCGATTGAGGTAATGTTTACAAAATACTATGAATCTTAAAATATAGGTATATATGATAAAGTTCTACAATATGTTTTATACAAAAAATCTTGAAAATACGCGCATGCATGTGTGCTGCAATTTGATTGTCTGAAACTTTAAATGGCTATTACTTCATTAGTTTTCAAGATAACAGGATGAAAGTTAGAACATAGAAAGGTATAATAGATTTTCAGACTAGTAAGCTACTATCAAAATTGAATGCAAGGACATGCATGTACGTGAGCTGAAATCTGGTTGGCTAACACTTTTATAGGCTGTATTTCTCTTACTTTTCGATAAAATACTTTGAAATTTAAGACATGGGTGTATATTATAAGGCACAATAAAAAATATATATACTGAGCAAAATAAGTTTAGCGATCAAAAATATTTAATTAAACACACAATAATGAAAATAAGATAAAACATTTATAATGAAATTGATACAAGAGGTTGTCATCACAGAACAAAATAAGGTCCAAAAAATTTGTTCCGTTACGCAAGAAAACAACGTTAAACTGATAAGGGGTACGGCTTGTAAAGTCACATTCAATTTCAATATTTTGTTTTGTTTGTTTGTTTGAATGTTGTTTAACGTCCCTCTCGAGAATTTTTCACTCATATGGAGACGCCACCACTTGCCGGTGGAGAGCAGCAAATTTTTGTCCTATATTCGGCACTTACGGCCATTGAGCAGTGAGGGATCTTTTTCGTGCCAGCACCTACTGCGACACGGGACCTCGGTTTATACGGTCTCAATATTTTGGACTCAATATTTTGTATGGCCTTCACTTGCAGCAATAACAGCCATACAACAGCGTCTCATGCTCCTTATCAAGTTTCTTATCTCAAGCATGGTGATCTAGTTCCACTCCTGTTGCAAGGCAAAGGTCAATTCTGCTACGTTGTTTACGTTATGTCTCTGTCTTAAACGACGACCAATAATGTCCCAAACATGTTCAATTGGTGACAAATCTGGCGATCTCGCGGGCCAATCCAATATATCAACATTATTCTGATGGAGGATCTCTTGTGTATGCCGTGTGGTGTGCGGACGGGCATTGTCCTGCTGGAAAATGCTCGCATTTCCTCGACGCAAGAAAGGAACAACAACAGAAACGACGATCTCGTTACAGTATCTCTGAGAATTTAATGTTCCATTTATTGTCACAAGGTCAGTTTTACCCTGTTGGCCTATTCCACCCCAAACCATAACACTTCCGCCATCGTAGCGGTCACGTTGGATGATGTTTCCTGGGTCATATCGCTCATTTCTGCGTCTCCAAACCATCCGCAAAATCAACGGTAAAACGTGACTCATCGGTAAACAATACCTCACTCCATTGTCTTTGAATCCAGCGACGATGAGTGTTGGCCTATGCAAGGCGGGATTGTCGATGATGTTGAGTTAATGGTACTGCAGTTAGAGGTCTTTGAGCTCGAAGATTTGCTGAACGTAGTCTGTTTCTTATACTTTGTCCACATAACCTCACTCCAATAGCACGGCGTAATTCTTCTGCAACTTTAGGAGCAGCAGTGAAACGGTTATGTCTCTACGTTGTAACGATAAAACGATCTTGTCTAACAGTCGTTTTTCGTGGACGTCCTGAACGCTGCCGATTACTAACGTGTCCAGTGATCCGAAATCGGTTCAAAAGTCGACATATGGTGGACGGATGCACATTAAAGTGTTGGGCGATCTCTTTGTGAGCAGCCAGCGGTTAGCATCCCTATAGCCTTTTGACGTTTATTTTCAGATAGTCCTGGTCGTTTCACCATTAGACGTTTTTTAAATTTCTCACCATTTTTCTTTAACAAGAGTGCTCGAAAAGTTTTTTTGAGTAGAAAATTCTTCCCAGACCGTGAGCATTCGAGCATAACCTATTGCATTTTTGAATTGTCACAACTCTGGACAACACGTCAAGCTTGAGAAACATCTTTGTCTTTAGTTAAATTTTTATATTGATTTTAAGGAGAAACAAAACAAAACATTCAAGAAAAATATTTTTAAATTATACCTTTGTAAAAACAATTGCTAAACTTATTTTGCTCAGTATATATACCAAATTCTGTGAAATCTCAAATGTATTGAGATGATGTATATACAAAATTTCCAATTAACGTGTAATCACATGCACATTTTGTGCTTTAATTGTTATTTCCCAAATATACTTTAGAAAATAATCGCCCGCGTGGCGCAGTGGTTAGAGCGTCTGCTCTAGAGTCGCAAAGTAAGGAGTTGATCCTTACGTCGCGGGTTCGAATCCCACTGTGGGACGTGGAGACCGGTACTTCGGACGAGACCGTATAAACCGAGGTCCTGTGTCGCAGTAGGTGCTGGCACGATAAAGATCCCTCACTGCTCAATGGCCGTAAGTGCCGAGCATAGGACAAAATTTGCAGCTCTCCACCGGCAAGTGGTGGCGTCTCCATATGAGTGAAAAATTCTCGAGAGGGACGTTAAACAACATTCAAACAAACAAACAAACAAAGCTTTAGAAATAAGATTTGAAAGTCTATAATACATAAGAGTTTGCCTTTTTAATGAAACTTATGGGGAATAAGATACCGAAAGGGAGTAAAGGAAACGTTGGGGAAACATCTGTTACGTTCTCTGTTACAATTAGAACTTAACAGTAAACAATGATTTTTAAATGTAAATTTTCCGGGATTGTTTTTCTCTTTCAAAGGTCGATTCTTTTGAAGTTCCGAATACAGTATTTCCTATATATTTCAATGTCAAATTTTGATTCCCTATTACCTTAGAAAGCTTTCACATAAGTTTCATGTTTTCTGGTTTAGTGGTTCTTAAGTAGAAGATTTTCAGCTTCGGTGAGCTAAAAATAGAGTGAAGACCGACTTACGTTGAAATGAATTTTTACCGTCTTCGGTGTGCAGTGCATGCTATTTCATAGAGGAATATTTTTGCTACTTCTTAGATTGTTGCAAATATGGCGATTTTTCATAAAGTATACTATGGAACCATCATTGTTCGTAGGGGACCGATGTTTGTAGATTTCTTTGGTCACCCTTAGAAACGAATTCAAATCCCCACGAACGTTTATTTTGTAAACATATTGATTCATTGAATACCGTATAAACAAGTAACCCACGAAACTAGGTCCCACGAACATGTAAAATTTTGATTACCCACGCATATTGACTCCCTCATATTTAAAATGATTCCACAGTGCACAAATGTTAATTGAAATATCAAAGAAAATGTTGTTATAATTGAGATCACGCTCGTATTTGTCGAACAATAGGTATTTCGCTCGCTTTTTAAAGATCTAAGGCCAGATCGCTTTAAGGTATGTCACTCGTCAGCCTTTTAGAAAATTTCAGTCAGAACCTCTTACTTAAAAACTATTTATTACAATTCAATCTTTATAACATATTTAAATTAAACAATATAAAATGTTCAACATTCAATTAAAAAACTGCTCAAAAATTCACAAAGAAGCAAGATTTATAAGGGACTATTTCTTGTGGCGGAAGAATGTTTAGCAGAAAATTCTGCAAATCTACACATTTATTAAATTTAATATCTTGGAACTTTAGCCTCACATACTTTTACTCAGAGAATATTTTCCGTTATGATATGCCTGGAATATTAAATATAGGTCTCAATTTATATTTTTATAACAAAATTTACACCTTCGCTCAACAAACATTGCCAAGAAATGAAGATATATTAAGGAAGTCGAGATAAAATTTACACAGTTTTTTGCCTGAAAATCGCATATTTTGACCAATATTTCAAAATTTACATCACTGACCCCAACTTTTTCTTTCATTATTTTAAACTACTCGATACTTTTGACCGATCAGCACTTAAGTCGTAAAAAGTTTGATACAAGAAAATATTCTATTGCCTATTTAAATTTTTAATACCCCAAATATGATACTTTTTTAGTGCAGAAAGGTCACACAATAATTTATGCGCATTAATTTGCATGATTTGTTCAATGATAAATATTATTCAAACTATTTTACGTAAAATAAGATTATGTTTTTTGCCATGGTTACATCTTATAAAATATGATAACGGTTAAAGTGATTAACCAAAGAGTTACAATTTAAGTGCAAAAAGGTCAACTTAATTGTACCGTAGCTCAGTTAGATGCACACTGACCCCCTATTTTCTCTGCGATTTTGAGTCATACTATATGAGTACTTATCCAAAATATACTTCTCAAAAAATCCTTGATATAACAAATTTCACGAGTGACATACCTTAAGGTCAAGATCTAGTAAATGACTTTAGACTTTTTTGGTGCTAGATCCATTATGACGTCATAATCAATTTAGACTTTCTTTTTCCCGTACTTTACAGCTCTAATAAAATTATGTAGAAAATAAAGTATTTTCATGGAATTCAATTTGAAATCATGTGAAAAGTAATCCCGATACTTATATTCAATTTAATAGTATTTTAAAGAAGAGGCTAAGAACATACAAATTACGGTTTTCTGAGAGACTGTAGGCAACCTGGATACATTTCCTTCGTCTGATATGGAAAAACACTCCCATATTCATAACTGAGTTTCTTAAATTTTCATTGAAAATAATAGTTATAATTATGATTTTTCGTCTTGTTTACCTACAGATTATGCCCCGAAACACCTTATTTGATAAAGCTAAAGTTATAAAGAATCAATAAAGGAATTTATTTCTCAAATTTAAAAATTTGTAGGCACCTTTTATTTACTAGATCTTGACCTTAACTCAATAAAAAACCCATGATATAATCAGAGCTCTTTAGTGTGCTGTGTATGAAGAGGGTTTTTAATATATGATGTAAATGATGTCAACAACTTCAGTCTCAATGGTTCTAGAATATGTAGAATATGAATTTATATACACTGTATATAAATTCACATTTGACTTAATAACATTATCAGAATGAATTTAATTTGCCACAAAATCGCTTAGTGATGTATTTTACTTTTGATACTAAGATAGTCCCATTTCATTCGAACAATTTTCTATACGTGATATTTGAAATATTTCTGAGAACTACTGGCTTGATGATACAATCATTAAAGATATTTGTCAATGTGGATTCCATTCTTCCGATATATTTGGACGTATTATTCTCACCATCCGACTCATTCTATTCCAGAGAACAACTCGGAAATGAACCGTGGGAACTGCGCAAGTTCAAAAGTCGTTTGAACGCTGTTCGGAATTCCAAATTGTAATAAGCATATATTATCGGATTTAAACAAGAATTAAAATATCCAATCCAAAATAAAATGGAGCCTAATATTGGTGGATAAGGACAATTTTCTGCACATAAAGTGGTTATTAAATACCACGAGAAGAAAGGTAGAAAACACACAATAAAAGCACCCATTACAACTCCTAACGTTTTGGCCGCTTTGTGTTCACGTTTCATTCTTGTACGCTCTGACATTTTCTTGGATTTTGATGGAACTTGAAGAAGGGAGTCAAAATTGCAATTTTCAGCGCACTCGTAACGATAGAAGCTGGTGGAGCGAATATGATTTTCTTGCCGACGAGCAGTTTTAAATATTCTAAAATACACAAAAACCATTATAGTGCACGGAATCCAAAATGACACACTTGAAGAGATAATGGCGTAAATCTTGTTCACGTGAAAGGAACACGACTCCGTGTTTTGTTCCAAAAGTTTGTAATGTTTTTGCGTGGTGTAAAACTGGGCATGGATGGGAATATATGATATAAGTGCCGAAGCTATCCATGTAGCAAAAATCATTGCACATGCACGACGTGAAGACATTTTGGTGTCATATTGGAGTGGATAATTGATGGCAATGTAGCGGTCGACGCTTATGCAGCAAAGATGCAGTATAGAAGCAGTGCTAAACAATACATCATTTGCGTTAAATATGTCACACATAGTTCTCCCAAACAACCATTTTCCTGTGATTTCCTGGCTTGCATTGAACGGCATAACCAGAATAGCAACAATGATATCGGCAAATGCAAGAGACACGATGAAATAGTTGGTGACTCTCCCTCGTAGCTTTTCAAACCTTTTTACACTTAAAATCACGAGCGAATTCCCTATGGTGGCGGTCGCCATTATAATTGTCATGGCAACCGTTTTCAACAGGATTACAGGAACGTTCACAGACAGTACTAACTCACTGTCTAACATTGATCCATTGAAGTTCGTTTGGTTTAGAAGATCTTTACTCATGGACATATCATTTACTATCAACATCTCAGATGAGACGGTCGTGGATATCATTTACTATCAACATCTCAGGTGAGACAGAAACTAATAACAGAGAATGGTAGTTTCGAGATTTTAGGTGTTTCGTCGCCTTACTTGAAGTCCAAAGCCATACCCATCATCTACAAAGTACAAAAACACAATTACACGCAGTTTAAATTGGACTTTTTTCGTCGATATTTTTTGTGAGACATTATTTTAGCATAGCTTATCCTAAATATACCTGATGATCTGCGTATGACAAACATGGAAGATAGATCGACACTTGACTAAGCACAAAGCAAATTTTTTAATGATGAAAATTAAAATGTATCTAGTTATGTAATTGATTGCATTATTGACACTTTATATATACATCTATGTGTATGGACTACTGTAAACGTGGAAATTTTGATGATGTGCTAATTTTGACTATATTGAAGATTTTTCTTTTCTCGTCAAAATTTCCACTCGTCAAATTTCACATCATATATGTAGCGTCATAAGAGACATTGAGCGTTCTACAACTTAACCGCTTAATTTTCTCGGCTTCCCCCGTTTAAATTTAACTAGATCAAAGTTACTGTTTTTTTTTTTGCAAATAGTTATGAAAACATAAACAGAATTTTAAAAACCATTGAGTATGTCATATACTATTATTACCCATGGTCACAACATTCTAACTTTGCGTTATTATCACGCTGTGTTTGACCTACTTTGTCACCTCAGGCAATCGGTCTCGTATAATGAAAACAAAATTCAAAAGAGCAATTAATTCAATCAAATCTTATACACTGTAGATGGTTTATACAAGCAAATTTAAATTTTATTGATGAGAACGCTTGTAAATGAGTTCCTGAGGAAGTCGCGGTCCTTGCCTTTAACATCGTGAACTCGCATAGAGCTATTTAATCGTAGACGTTCTCAAGTCAACTAAGCCAATGTTTCCATAAAATTCTTTGTCCTCTACTTTCTGGCGAGCTTACTCTGAGTACTAGTTTTGAAACTCGTTTTTTGAGGAGTTCTTTACATTCATTTCTGTTTTAATCTTGTGAAATCAAAGATACATAGCTCTTGATTCAAAATTTCGTAAAAATTAACACTTGTCAATTTTCGTATACAAAAAATCGTCAATTTTTCAACTCGTCAAAATAACCACGTTTACAGTATACAATACGGGTAAGTGCCGGTATCTTGATAATTGCTTTGTTGTTGTAGCAAGTTGACTTCCGACAGTTATGTTCCTTAAACGAATTTTGGAAACATTTTGTTTTACTCTGATTTTTATTATTAAGTCTTCCGTCTTTACGGAGGACTTTTTAGTGATTCTACTATTTATTATTTAGTTCTTCCGACTTTCTTCGGAAGACCTTTTTAGCTCACCTGAGCTGAAAGCTCAAGTGAGCTTTTCTGATCACATTTTGTCTGTCTGACCGTCCGTCTGTAAACTTTTCACATTTTCGACTTTTTCTCTAGAACCACTGAGCCAATTTCAACCAAACATGCCACAAAGCATTTTCTGGTAAAGGGGATTCAAATTTGTTCAAAGGAAAGGCCACACCCTCTTTCAAGGGGAGATAATTAAGATTAAGTGAAAATGTAATGGCATCCTTTAAAAATCTTCTCAAGAACCACTGGGCCAGAAAAGATGAATCTTATGTGAAAGCTTTTTTTTTTTTTTACAAAGTCTAGATTCCAATTTTTTTCAAATCATGACCCTCGGGGGTAGGGTGAGGCTACAATAAGGGAGTCAAAGTTTTACATAATAATATATATGTAAAACCTTAAAAAATCTTCTTCTCAAGAATCACTGAGCCAGAAACGCTGAAACTAATGTGGAAGCATCCTCAGATAGTGCAGATTCAAATTTGTTCAAGTCATGACACCCAGGGGTTGGGAGGGGTCATAATAGATCATGGCATTGAAAGGGGGGGTCAAAGTTTTACACGGGACTACATAGGAAAAATAATTAAATAATTTTAAATAATTAAAATATCCTTTTTAAGATTACTGGGACTTTGAATAGTCTCACAAGAAAAAGATAATAAAACATAAAAACAAGCTAAACACCGATATAAGTTATTTTTTTCTTTGTTTATATATATTTAAATCGGGTTCGAAATCCGATTACCTTGAAAACGTTTGTTGCGGCCATATTGGATGAAAAAAAGCGGAGAATACTCACTAAGTCAAGATTGCGGATATTGTGGTAGATTAAGCAAAAATCGGTTTTCATATTAGTTGTGTCAAGGTAATGTGATCTATTTATTAATGAAAGGGAAGTACACGACCCGTTCTTGTAGAAAATAATTAAACAATGTATAAATAAAGTATTCTCTATACTCCATATACGCGGTAATTTACACTGACAGCCCCAGTTCAGAACTGATGTTAAATTTCGCTTAAAAACAAAATAAGAATCGTATGACCTAGCCTGACAATCAAACGAATGAATTCAATTTGCTGAACAGGCTTGAGAATAAGAAATACGAAAACGGTGTGGTTTTTATGACTTGCTTGAAATATTGTCGGAAACTTTCCGAGTCACCAATATAATTATGGCGATGTATTTATTTCTTATTTTAAAGTTTCAATTGCAGATTCATATAATTAAAATGTATTTTCCGTTGAAGTTAAGCCTACTCTGAAAATGTTTTGCGGCTTTTGCCCGTGTAATGCATATATCCAGGTAAAATTATTTACCATTAAAGCCTTTAATTGAGATTAAGATTTGGCTTGGCTCTTTTAGTTTTTCAATGCAACAGTCTTTGTTATAGAAGTACACCAGGTGCATCACTTTTCACAAGGAAGGAGGATCAGGAAGGATTTCTCTACTTATTCAAAATAGCCAATTTTCTGCAAAATGTAAATAAAGATAATTATGGTAAAAATGCAAGTTTTCTGTGATGTTTTAGTGCATTTTAGATATAAAGGAAGATGTGCCAAAACTCCTTTATTGCGGCCCCTTTTACTACGACGAATTATATTTATTCTACAACGATTATAATAGTTTTCAAACAAAAGTGAATAATTACGACGCTTTTTGAATAGTTTCAATAATTCCAACACATCTTAATTATGAGGATTACTGCATTTTCTATGATTTTTTAGACCCCATGAGAGCGAAATTCGACCTGGTTTGTGACAATAGGATCTTTTATGAAAAGAGAATAGGCCGGTGTACCAGTGAAAACTGTCGCTAGTGCTCAGAGTCGCTCTAAAAATAGAAATTCGAAGCGGTAGCCTTGCAATTCGTCACTCGTATAATTATACCCAAAAAATAGTTATAACCACGTAATTTAGATGTTATTGGTGTTTAAAATGAAACATTTTGAAGCAAAAAAAGTTATAACACTCTTGAACAATTATGTATTATTCAATATTTACTACAAAAATCCTGAAAATTATTGTATGGTCATTTCTTAATTGACATCGCGATCGGCATCTGAGCTTCGTTTTTCTTCATCTCTTACGTGAGAAGTTGGACAATTTGTCTAATAAAATTAAATATTTAGATAGGTTGTAACCTCTTATTGAAAAAAAGCAAGGAATTATATTTTGAATCGTCGAGATCGGCATCCAACTTTTATTAGGCAATCAGCTGCATACGAATCGGCATGTATTATGATTTGTAAAGTCGATTTATTGTAAGTAAGACAGTGTTTTAAAAGATAAGATAAGAATATTTATCGTTTTTTATTGTCGATAAGTTAATTGTAAGCACGAATGAATTTAAATCTTGATCACACAAGTCTATTGCTATTCGAAACAAAGTTTTGACGCGATTTTCCTCTATTGTGTTCATAATACCGAAATGCTCTGACCTTTTTTTCATATAATTTAGGTCAATTGTTTATTTTTTTTTCTAAATAGGTGTTTAAGAGTTTATTAAATTAAAATCCTCTGCAATTAATTATGAATTTAAAGCAGTTTTTCATCATATTTTGTGGTTATAGAAGGATTCCCTTAGATTAATTTTTATTATATCCTAAATCAGTATATACATGTATGATAACTGATGATGAATCATTAGATGAGCACTTTGTACAAGTATAATAACAACTATCTAACAAAGTTATGTATGTAAGTTGATAATATGTGTTTCGACTGAATTAATTTTACATTTCTAAGTACTAAGTAGTCATCATATCTATAAATATCTGGCTTTGTTCAGTTATGATATAGGCATGGGAGACATACAGTAAACTAAATAAGTAGATACAATGTCAGTGAATTATTGTTAGGGTGGGGAGTTCAATCTCCTTTACAGTCAATTATTAAACTTCAGTCTGGAGTTGATGCGTGAACCTCAGGGTCCACCACAGGCACTTGTTTCTGTAATAAATTTTTGACCCATAGTATAACTAGTGCTAATTGTAACGGGAACCGTTACAGATGTTCCCCAAACGGCCCCCCAAATCCCTTATGATGCCCCATTTTCTACAAGCTTCAATAAATTAGACAATACTTTTGTAATATAGATGGACACTTTATTTTTAAGGGTATTTCATTGGAAAACTACTCCGATATAGCCATATGGGTATTAGCCAATCAAATTTCAGCGCATGTGCTTGCACATGTTTTCTACATTTTTCACTTTAATTTTCTTATAGTGTCTCACAATACATACAGTTGTGTTAAATATTAAAGAATTTCATTGAAAAATAAGAGAGATGTAACCCTTTAAGTATTAGCCAATCAGAATTCAGCATACGCACATGCAGGTCCTTGCATTCAATTTTGATAGTATTATAATGTAGGAGCTCTATGTGCCTATCCATGTCATAAATTTCATCCTGTTTTGTTGAAAACCAAGGGAGTTTTAGATATTTAAAGTTTCAACCAATCAGATTGCAGCACACCTGCATGCGCGTGTTTTCAAGAAATTTCCTATATAACATGTTGTAGCACCTTATAATATATACTTATATTCTAAATTTCAAAGTATTTTGTCAAAAAACAAGGAAATTATTGAGATTTTTGTATCAGCCAATCAGAGAAGAGCGCAC